CTGATGTTAAAGCACATTGAAACACTTTTGTAGAATATAGCAATGACCCTCCCCATAGGCTGGTGTAACGTAGTGAATGGTCACAAACTCCCGTGCTTTGGCCATTAACACGATGTAATGCTTTACCATCCAGAAAGTCCGGCAATTGCCATGATGCGTGTGGATCAGTAGTTTCCCACCGACAATAGACTAAACAACCTTGATCTGCATTCTGTTTATGTGATATATCAGCTGGGATTGAGATCACGTATTTATCAATATCATCATATGTATGTGTCTAACATAATTAACAACCAACTATATAAAAATCTAAACCCATCACTTATTAAAACCATCAAACAATATATTTATACATAAGGCGTTTTCAAAACCATTCTTGTTATTTCTTTAGCCACATTTTTCAACTCAAGCCTCTCTCTTCAGCCAAGGTGGAAACATCCCACACACATACCAAAGGAGCCTTTTAGTTCCCAGCCTTTTTTAGCTCAAGACTTATTAACCCTTACTGCACAACCTCACAGTTTAACCATTATAGTCAGCTATATATTATCAATCTCATCTCTAATAAAAACCAATTAACACAAACTCTGTCAAGAAAGCATTAAACTAAGCATTCCTGACACTTCTGGTCGCTCCTTCCTGCACGTCTCCTTTGCCCCTTAATCCTGATTAAATACAATAAAACGTTCTTAAACTGCCACAACTGCTTGTTTCAAGACACACTATGCCTGGGAGAGTGCTGGAGGACTGCATATGTCATTTCCCAATACCTCAGAAACCTTTTAGTTGGGGCACTGCAAGGATGAAAAGATTTTGAGGACATCATCAGGTGTAACTACAGTTATGGACCTCCATCATCACAGTTGTGTCTGACAATCCAGAATCTCAGCAATTATGTTTATTTACAGTTGCCCTTGAAGGTACTCTAAGAACTTTGTTTCCTGAGTAGCTCTGATTTAGACTATAACTTTCATAATCTCTATTAGCTTTGTTAGTTGGGATTTACTGGAGCTGCAGTCCAATATCTGAAGGACCAGGTTTCTCCACTCCATCTGTAAACCTTCATGTACAGCCATTTGAAAACCAGAATAAGACTTTCTGTCACTCTCAGAGCATCTAATCAATTAGAAGAATGCCAACAATCATATCAAATCAATATTTTGGGTTAAGATATCAATATATCTCTTGATTCATCCATGATTTGGTTATTCCACTGAAAAACATGAGCTTAAATTTAGTGACTGGAGGAGACCTATTGAAGCAATGGGAACTTGGTAAACCATCACTTCTTGCTGTTCTGGCATGCCCTAAAGTTGCTTCTGGCTTATGGCAACCCTAAAGGTAACCCTATCATAATAGTTTCTTGGCAAATTTTGTTCAGAAGGAGTTGCCAGTTCCTTCCTCTGATTCTGAGAGCGTGTCACTTGCCCATGGTCACCCAGTGGGTTTCTATGGCCAAGCAGGGATTCGAACCCTAGTCTCCAGAGTCCTAATCCAACACTGAGACCACTACACCATGCTGGCTCCTCACCAACACTAATGAATTCAGTGGCATTGGATTCAGACCAATGTCTTTGATGCAATATAGAGGTTTTGCTACATAGCCAAGTCATCATTTGATGCAGAATCATTATGTGATTGGAGAGTTATGTTCAAGCCTTTATGGAACCCGAAACAATGGAAGATTTTTTTTTTAGCAATTGCTGTGTTCACATATAGGTTTTAAGAAAGAATAGTTTCATCATATAAACAGTGACCTTAACCCCTATTGTTTTTCAAAAGTAGTGATAATGGTGAGGCTTGGGGAAAACTAGGGATATACAAGAAAGAAAGAAAAAAGAGGTGAGCACTTCATTTACTGAATTCCCCCCTTCCCCAATTCATAATAAAATGCTAACTGAAGAATATTTCCAGTCAACCTTGTGACCACTAAGTCCATCCCCCCAAAAAAGTTATATTTAATAGATTTAATAGATGACATCCCTGCCATCACACAGCCATGGAATTGGAAGGAGCCCTATGGGGCCCCATCCTAAGCTTGGAAAGCTTCAACTGCAAGCCCTTCGGGTTAGGGATTCTCATTTTCCAGAAACTTTCTCCCCCTCCACCACATCCAGAAGAACTTGGATTATTCACAAATCAATCCCATGTAAATATGGGAAAGCTTATCCATTTCTAATTGGAAGAAAAGTCCCTAAAATAAGAAATCCTGTACCAGCTGAGCAACAAGAACTTGAACTAACATTAAATGTAATTCTAAAAAATCAGGCATGGCAATGTTGCAACTACTACATATTAGGATAGCAGTCTGATAAATTGGGGACTTTCTCTTTAAATTAGGATACCTTGTTGAATATATGTAGAAGGCTGCGGAAAGCATGTGGGAAGTAGTTATCAGCCCAGAAGTGAAAAGCATTATCTTCAATAACGGTTGCATCTGCACTGCAGAACTAATGCAATTTGACACCATTTTTAACTGCCAGGGATCAATGTTATGGGATTCTGGAATTTAGTTTTGTGAGATGTTTAGCCTTCTTTGTCAGAGAGCTCTGGTTCTACAGCAAGCAACAAATCCTAGGATTCCATAGCACTGAGCCATAGTCGTTAAAGTGGTGTCAAACTGCATTATTTCTGCAGTGCAGATACAGCCAAAGGGAGCAGGGTGCCAGTCATTTCAACAAAATATTCCCCAATATTTCATATAGTATGTGGAATGTGATGTAGCAAGATTAAACAGCATGCACATGTGACAAAAATGTGTTCAAATAAGACCACAAAAAATTACGCCACAAATTTTCAATTCTTGTTTAATTTTTTGTTTGTATTTATACAGATCATGCGCCAGGTACTGAGGTCCATAGTGAATTCCTACAGATTAGCCATTCAGATTTTCTAATAAAACCAGTTTCTTTTCTAACAAAAAATTAATAATAATAATTGAGTATAACCAAATACTTCCAATTATACAACTTGTGACTGAATTGGCAAGGTCGAGGGAAGGCCATATATCAAGTGGATAAACTCAGGGCCTGTACAGACTGCCAGAAATAATCCAGTTTGAGACCACTTTAACTGCTTTGGCTCAGTGCTAAGGAATCATGGAACTGTAGTTCATTGTGGCACCAGAGCTCTCTGACAGAGAAGGCTCAATGTCTCAGAAAAAAACTACAATTCCCATGTTTCCCTAGCACTGAGCCAGGACAATTAAAGTGGTCTCAAGCTGGATTATTTCTGGCAGTGTGTACAGGTCCTCAGTCAGGGAAGCCACCACACTGAGTCTGCAAGGCCTGGACAGGGCGTTTGAGGACAGGTGACTTGGAGGACTCTCATTCATAAGGTCACTATAAGTTGAAGTTGACTTGAAGGCAGCTAACAACAAAATGACTGAATTAAAGTCTGCCTTCCCTAGAAGAACTGTCCAACTTGCACCAATGTCCAGTATCATAGTGCAGCTAATTTTTTCTCTGTGGGTCACTGCACAACCAATATTAACACACCATTACATGCAAAGTCAGCTTTATATTATAAAATTGTAAGTGCAGAGGTATAAGAGTAGAAAGGTGAATTATCTGGAGTAAAGTGCTTTTACTATCTCGAGTTTACTGAGAACCCTTTTCCTATAACTCAGTTTGTGCCTGTAATATGCGTATAAAGTCTACTTTTGAAACTTATTTTTGCAGTGTAAGAATAATTAAGACTGCATATGCACCATGCACAGTACTCAGAACTCATGACATTCATCTGAAACATTGCTGTGTGGTTGCTTTTCAACCATATCTTTGGTTATGACAGTGTAGGTTCAATTCAAGATCCACAGGCAACTGACAAAAAGGGGGAGAAGAAAAAATTAAACACAAATCTGAGAGCTGTTTGAACCGTGCTTCTCCAGTCGTGCTCTACTTTCACATGTCTCCCTGCAGGCGAAAGTTTGGACATGCAGTTTAAGCATGAGATGGCTTTCAGTTCAAATACGGGCCATTTGCTGCCAAGACGGCCTTCCAGAATTGTACTAAATTCAATAATGCTTCCTTGCCTCAAGTTCAGCAAGACTTTCTTAAACTCATTGCTAGCTTTCAGCACAATGTCCTTCGTTACATCCTCCTCCTCTATAGGTTTACTTCCGTTCACACTACTGAAAGGCATACCCACTGTTATTTCAAATTTATAGCGGTCAAACCTTTTGATGTGGCAATTGTATTTTGTCAGGTACTTTAGTTGGCAGAGTTCCTCCTCTTCTAAGGTAACGTTTTTTGGGTCACATGGTGGATAGGTTTCACCATACAAGCATCTCAGCCAATCACCAACAAACAAAGGAAGCATGTTTATTGCTGATTCTGCACTATTGTCAATGTCAGTTACTCTAACGTATTTGAACCTTCCAGTCCATGTCACTCTATGGCCCTCCAAATGGCTACATAAAATCTGGGTGCGTGCCATATTAGTAGATTTCCAAGCCCGTGGCCCACACAAAAATCCATACTGATTCCACGTCAAGGTGGAGTTGTACACTTTCATCCCCTCTGAGCGGTACACATAAAACCAACAGAACAGCACTATAGCAGTCAACCATACCAGAATAAGTTTAACAATTGAGCTTTTTGTCAGGGATTTTACAAGTTCAACTACAGAGACTCTGGCCCTTGTCCACCACTGGAAAATCAATGGAATAGCGCACAGCACAACAGTGGCCACAATTTTCACAAGGTCTTGTGTTACGAACCATTTTATGAAGTGGATGAGACCCATCAGTGCAATGCCTACTACTAAAACAGGAAGTGCAAACAGGAACAAGAAGTAACCAACTGAGGCACGAATTAGACCTATGCCAGATGATTCTTGTAAAATAACCACTGAGAGTTCACACCACATGAAACATACTAAGTAAGGAACAAGATAGCAGTATGTACCTTTAAAATTCTGCATTTGTGCCATTCTAAAGAAAAGATAAAACAAATACAAAAACAAAAGGCAAGGGATGCTCATGTTCAGCACAAAGAAGTGGCCAATAGGGATGCTGTAAAATGTTTTCCACAATAGCTTCAAATTTCCCAGGTTTAAAGGAACAACCTTCATCAAGGAGAAGGCACCTGCAGCAACCTCTGTCAATAACGCTCTTCGTGTGTATGGTTCAGCACTTGTGCCCAAACTCATATAACTTGTCACCATGAAGAAAACAGAGATTGTAGCCAATTCTGAGCATGGTATCCAGTCCTTGGTTGCTATAGGGAAGGAAAAAATGACAAAGAAGACAGAAATCAGGAAGTAAAAGTATGGTTCTAAATGGTTCCAGCCAAAGTTCACTTCTGCTTCCTCGACATCTAGGTCGGGTTCAAAACGGAGCAGCAGGTCAGTGAGGGTACGGAAGTTTTCCCATGCTTTACTATCTTGGAATACTTTGAGAGTGCAAATCACCATGGAAATGAAGGAAAGATAGAAGATCACTAATGGGATAAAAAAGGCAAAGAAGTCAATTGTCAGATTACTGATGATGAAGAAGAATATGAGTGCATTGATGTGATGTGTTGGAACAATAGTGGACAGCCAGTGCATTCCTGCTTTAGATGCGACATCTATAAGATACTCTTTGATCTCCATAATGGCATGAAGTGGATACTTTATGACCTGGAAATGAAAATTGTAGTTAATTCACCACTTTCTCAGCATCACACACCACATGTCTTCTAGACAAACTGGGCAAGCAAATCAAACCAGATTAAACATTATTTATATATTTGTTTTTAAACAATTAACAGTGCAACAATGGTGGTAAACTGGATCTGTCAGC